TACAGGTATCCTAACCCAACCATTAGTAACAGTTGCCATAATACGAATATTACATAGGTGATTATCTAAATTTTCACTGTTGATGGGATTTGAACACCCAACCTACCACTTGGGGGGTTGACAACCTGACCACTTCACTAGGTCACCACACTCCATATTATATAATTATTATAATAGTTTACTTATACTAAAAATTAATTAAAAAATTGCATTTTTGCAAATATGCTTTAAATTACACCTAGTTTTAAAATTTGATTCATAGTCCAAGAATTCTGTATTATAAACCTTATACACATTTAAAATATTATAATATTTATTGTTTTACTTACTATAAATTATATATTAGAGTTTTAACTTTTTACCAAGCTTTTGTCTTTCATTTTTTTATTTATTTAGTAACTATAATTCTAATTAAGAAAATATATAAAATTTCAAAATTTTAAAATAAGTAATAACATTTTACTACTATGTTTACTATATTTAATTCTATATTTGATTGATGAAATAGAACAGTTCTAGTTTTTATAATACAAAAAACTTTATTACAATTCAGAATTTTTTTATAATTTTATTCAAATTTATTATAAGGAATAAAAATCTTTGAAAATTATTAAAAATCATATCTAAATATATTTTGATAAAATAATACCTTATATAAATTAATTTTAAAAACTCAGGATCAAAAATTAAGAATAACTTTATAATAAATTTATATTTTAAATGTTAATAGTTTAAATCTAACATAGATTATTAATACTATAGATTGCCAAAAAAATTTTACTGTAAATTATAAATTTAGTTTCTTACTAGTACCAACAGATAAGTTATTAAGTTAATAAGGGTTTTTTATATTTTGCACAAAAACCGCATCTAATTATTGGTTAGAACTAATGAGAAATTAGATATGTGATTAACTACAAACATTTCCTTTTAGCGACCTATAATCTTAAAATTTTACACTAAATCTAGGATTTTTTGCAAGGAAATTACTAGAAAAAATAGTAATTTCAAGTGCAAAGATTGGGAATCTTCAAGATGCAAAATTTCTAATAAACTAATAAATATAGCAAAATAAAAATTTATTATATAACTACTTGCTGTAAATAATACTCAGTTGTTCCAACACAAATGTGAATGACTTAATAGACTAAATGTACTGTAACTTTTCTGGAAGTTATGTAAATTTGACACTGACAAGCGAGAAAGACTTTATAAGAAAGGAAGAATTGGATTATTAAAACTAGTTTTAAACACATCTGTTTGGAAGTTTTTAATATCAACGTTAGCAAGTAACGGTAACGCAAATATCAACCAAATTCGTTAAAAGGTGTTACATTGTGTATGTGATACACGTACTTATGTAATTGCATCGAAAGACATAAACGTTACGCAATGCAATAAAGTACATTTTTAAGATGCTCAATAAATTTGACAAGTCTGCGTAGTTTAAAATGTCAAATGCAAAACAGTCAGAAAAAATCGACAACGCATTAGATGTTACTAAAATGTCCAACGAACTTAATCAACTGTGTTTAGAAGATAAGACGAGGAATTTTCAAAATGAAATTATTAACCAAATGTACGATTTGTATAATGAAGAAGCAATGAAAGGCAGACAGTTTAGTTCAACTATTGACGCCTTGGAAAAATTTCTAATAAGAAAAAAGCAAAATCCAGATGATATTATTACATATTGCTTGGATAATCAATCAGATCCTATGGTTCCATTCATTCTTGCAACTTGTTACGAAGCTGGTAAATGGGTTGAAGAGGATGAACATAAGGCATTTATTTATTATCAAAAATCTGTAGAGATGGAGGATGCTTATGGAATATGCCGTGTTGGATTTTGTTATCAACATGGAATTGGAGTTGAAAAGGATGGGCGTAAAGCATTTAGTTATTATCAAAAATCTGCAGAGATGGGGAACGCCGTTGGAACATGTACTGTTGGATATTGTTATGAAAAAGGAATTGGAGTTGAAAGGGATGAACATAAGGCATTCATTTATTATCAAAAATCTGCAGAAATGGGGCACGCTACTGCAATATATAATGTTGGATATTGTTATCTTTATGGAATCGGAATTGAAAAGGATGAACGAAAGGCTTTTGAATATTATTTAAAAAGTGCCGAATATGGAGATTGTTGTGGAATGTATCATGTTGGTTTGTGTTATCAAAATGGGATTGGTGTAGAAAAGAATAAAGATTTGGCATTTGAATGGTATCTAAAATCTGCAGTTACTGAGCATGACTGTGTTCATATTAACAATTATTTCCGTTGGATAGAATATGATAATTTTAGAAATATCGAAGAAGTAGGTAAAGGTGGATTTTCCGTAGTATATAAAGCATCATATATAGCGTCCTTTGGAGCATATGAAGAAGTTGCAATCAAGATAATAAATGATTCGCATAAGAATAAACAACTTTTTTTAAACGAGGTATTTTATTTTTACGTGTAAATTAATATTATTGTTTATTAACTAATTAAATAAATTGAATGTTTTTTAGTTAAAGGCGTATCATGAATTTAGCAAATATAAAGGCATTTCAATGGATAAAAATACAAAAGATTTTATTTTAGTGTTAAGTTACGCAAAATTTGGATCACTACATGACAATCTTAACGATATATTTAAATCGGAGTGGAAAATTAAACTTAAAATATTATGCGATATCATTAATGATCTAT